TATATATATATATATATAAATGTATACTTGAAGGAAATATTATTTGCATATAGAGCACGCCAAACACTCCTCAACCTTTTTCAGAAATCCCCGCTGAATCTTTTGTGACTTGTATGTTTTAACTTATTTTGTACAAAAAAAAGCTTTGAAATTTTAAAATTGTTATTTCCCAAACACAAGACATTCCTGTGTGCATACTATTCAGAGTGCCCTTATAAATCTTTCCTGACATCTTTGTAAACAGTGTACATTTTCAGAGGCTCTCTTGTGCCATTTAAAACTCTCCTATGAAAGATCATTTGTTCTTGCATGGCATCAAATTGATACTAGATGTTTCCAATCGGAAATAATCAAATCCTGGAGATTTAGCAGTATTTTATTTTTTATTTTTCAGACGATTTCTGCGTCATTATTTATTTGTTTAAAAACGTGTACATTTTTTCGTATAGCACACAATTAAATTAAAAGTATTCGTTAAACCTTTATTATTCCGAAATATGTTTGAACTCTTGTGCGTTATTAGCATGGCCTTATGCAAAGTTTTAGTCTTAGTTAACATGGGAATCTTCTATTTTTTTTAAAATTTTTTTCATTCACAACCAAGCTATCCATGGGGCTCTTTCAGGTCATGTTTCAAGACAGATATTTCTCGTTTTATACCGTCTTTGTCCTCGGACAAAAAGCCAAGAAGCTCTCCCAGTATGTGGAGGTCTCCTTTCTGAAGTCTTCTTGACGAGAGAGTTGAAAAGGTATTTCAACCGAAGGTCGACAAAGCAGCAGTGGCAGGTTCATCCAGGGGACACATTTCAGCCGCAAGGACTGACCCCAGCACCCCTGACCCGCCGGACAGGCAGCATTTCTCTCCCAGGCGCTGTTCGCTTTGCTTTGGAGGACTGTTCCACCCTCAAAAAAAAAAAGAAAAAGAAAAAAGGCTAAAGCTGATTCAAAGTAAGAGCCGCTGAATTCCTCGTTTTACACGTGTTTAAACAGTATTTATACCAGGCGAAGCCCCCGAAAAGGTTCTGATTTGTGCGTTTGTCTCCTCATGTCTATATGCAATCTTTTCGTTTTTATTTTTGTACATGCTTTTTACCTTGTACGGTGCATTGAGATGTGAGAAGTATATTGAATAAAAAAATAAATAAAGATTTCTACTGATTATGCATTTAAGTATTTGGGAGACTGTGTGTGTTCTGGGATGTTTATTTCCTGCACTCAAGATAGATTTTGATTTAGAAGAAATACATATATTTTTTCGACCCCGGGGTTATTTATTATTTCCCCGATAGCTTGAAATTTTAGAGTAACTTTTCTTTGTTTGCGTTATTTGGTGCCATTTGGTTTACGCTAGACGCAAAGGACCGCTTTGCTCCAAGTGTTTTTTCACCTAAGAGTTACAAGCGTGTGGAACCATATGGAACTAAAGGCCGCTTTTACAAAACATCTACAAATGGACCAAATGGCCAGTGGATACACAAATGCAGCCTGTTGTCTTGGCAGGTCCTAAATTTAAGCACACAAGTGTATTTTTATTATTTAGAAAATAAAATAAAATAGAAGAGGTTTTTTTTTTTTACTTTGCCGTTTCATTTTACTCATGAGTTCGTAACAAAGCGAGAGCAAGCACTGCGCAAAAACCTCCCCTTAGGAAAAAAAAAACTCTTAGTGGGGATTATTTAATTTATTTATTATTATTTTGTGCCATAAAAACCACATTCAATGCGTAAAAGTTATTTAGACGGTTCTTTACGGTGCAGTGGAAGCACAAATTATCTCTAGTGGCCTCATAAGACTCAAATTGACAGGGAAAACTTGTTAAGAGGAGTTGGTCCTTCTCCAAGACTAATTCACGCCACATTTGTTAGAGCTGTATTAGAACGAAGGAACAAACACCCAATAGCACAGTATAGAACTTTAGGCTATTAAAGCATACCTATATTCTGCTTATGGTTAATATTAACCCCCAACCCCCCATGATCCACAAGCTGAGACTTTATTGAGGATGAGACGCAGCAATACCGACCTTCGACCCCTTCACGTTACAGGATCAGCTCGGATACAAACAAAGTGACCATATGCATGCATTTGTAAAGACAACCTGCATCCAAACACTTTTCATCCCCAGTGACCACGGGCTGATGCCCACTGAGCACGTCCGTGCACCGCGCATAAACGTTTGTGTATACATAAAATGTAAGTTTGTCACACGGATGTGGAGAGAAGCAGAGACAAAGTGATGCTACCAATCCACCATCCTGCCAAAAATGATCTCCATATAGATGCTGAGGAGAAGATGAGAGAGAGAGAGAGGGAGAGAGAGCGAGAGAGAGAGGGGGGCTGGGTGGG